CACACTCCTGATAAGTGAAAGTTAGCCATTGCTGTTTTGACTTTCCTCAACCTTTTGAAGGATAACCAATGTTGTATCCTTGGATGCACTCTTGATGAGTTGTGAACGCTTGATTAGATTAACTGAACACTAGCCGCCCAGGGTTAATGTGTGGATTTTAAAATAAATAAAAAAAAGAAACTCCTACTTCGAAGGCTCAGAGGGGTTAACGAGAGTCTATCTCCCTTATATCTCCGGTGTTTAGGAATTAAAAAAAGGTATGTACATCGTCAGTAGGGTCTTACTCAAAAGCATACCAACCTGAGATTTTTGCGTTTTTAGATTATCGTCATCTTCCCTCCAATCTTTTTCTAAGCATAAGACTTGAAAACTTGGCATCAATATGCAAGTAAAACATTTAAAGAGTGATAATGAATGGATGGATAAAAATGAAAGGAACACTTCAAGACAAGCATACTTTTTGCATTAAGATTTTCATTAAAAAATATACAGGTTTCTACATGTACGAAATGTTTAATCAACTAAGCAAGAATTCAAATGAAAATGCAGTAAAGAAACCAACGATTGTTGTAGTTGAGGAGACCTGACTCCGTATGGACTTCTTCATTCTGACAACTTTCTGCAGTCTTGATTCTTTAATGGGCAAGAGAATTCTCCTTCTAACTTGATGCAAACAAAACAGTCTCTGAATTGATCCAGTCTTGGACCTTGTCTCTGTATGACATGCCATCTTTAATCGAATGGCGACGTGCCACATAATAATATGCATAGAAGATTCTTTCAGGATAACGAATGAATGTTTTACCAAGCAAATTGGTATAAACTTCATAACCAAGCATCTTATGCCATAAAGTAATAATATAATTCGTCTTCTATCACAACAGAAGAGACATCCAACTGGTGAGAAAGAGTTTGGCAGTTAGAAAAATAGGAATTGGACTTTTGGAAGAGACGCCAGACAGGTGTTGGACTTTATACTTCAACCCTTTTATAGTCTTCGACATCAAAACCGGGTGCCCCAGAACAGAAGACACATCTAGGATGTGTATAGCAATCAGAAGAAATATTTGTGGGAGGAGGACCCCAAAGATTAGAGCTTTACCAATTGAACTTCCACCAGGAGAGAAAATAACTGGATGTAATGCATTGGGATCACATCAACATGCTCATCAGGCTTCTTCTATATTTTCTTAAAAGCTCTGCCCCATGAATTCACTTGGGGAACAAAGACTGGCTGCTGTCGAACAAATCTGGGAGGGCAAAGCTGTGGAGAGTTCCCCTGATTGAATAGTCGGATTCCCCGGTGTGGTAACCACATCTGGTGTTGATATCATGATCTGGAAGAGAATTTATGGACATTACCGAAGTATAGGGTCTAACCCACTGAAGCTCAAACCAGTGTGGAAACCAATGAGAATGAAGCAATGATATAAAATCAACTCTTCTTCAGGCGTATTCTAATCTCGCTGGTAAAACAAGTTTCTTAAATTCACATAGTAAATGGGAACCATCTACTGATAAGATGTTCCAAGAATTCAAGATCGTGTAGCACTCCATGGTTGAAAGGAATTCCTAAAAGATGAGGAGAAGAGAGAACCTATGTTGTGATAATAAGTGGAGGATTATTGATATCATCATCAGAGTTTCCATGACCCGGCTCACCTAAGTCTTCAATCAATTATCTTCCTTCTCGAAGAACTCCCGACCATGGGCCAAAGCTTGCATGTATACCATAATCAGCCCCATCGAGATCTTCATATCGCTCAATCCCCTATGGAGTCATCCCATACTGGTCTCCAAATACGTACAGTAAGAAATTAAGTCTGAACCTCTAAGGAGAACACTAGGTCTGAATAAGAATCCCCAATATCTGAGTACCTGTTATGGATGCATGAATATGCATGGGGTGCATGAATGGATGTCATGTCATGTTCTGTCATTTCCAAGGAATTTACATGCTTTGATTTTGATTTTATGCAGGTAAGGGAAGTAAAATTTCAGCACAAGACTTACAGATATGATTCCATGGAAATAAAAAAACATGTATGTTAAGTATGTGGTTAACCATGTTATGTATGCAAATAAATGTGATTAAAGTTTAATCATTTCTGAATATGGTTGCTGCACTATTTCTGAACCATATGAATATCACCAGATCAGAGGTCCAGAATAGCTTCGGCACATACAGGAACCAAGTACCATGTAGATCATCAATTGTACGTGATCAAGGCTTCTGGAACACTTCATATTTTCAAGCCTTTTCTAAACATGTTGGGATAACCAAGATCGAAGGACCGAATGAAACTCCAACTAAAAAAGTCAGGAACTCATAAAATAAATCCAAGAACCCCATAGTCACCACAAAACATAAAGTTACTCTCTGAACATAGTCACCAACAGTACCTGTAAAGATTATCCCCTCTCCACTCACGAATGTAAACTAGGTCAAGGTAAGGTCATGGATAATCAGAATCATAGGTCACTTGAAAGGAACATCATCATGCATAACCGTGATGTTGACAATACCTTACTTGAACCTCAACTGACTGTGGCTTCATGATCGGATGGTGACAAGGCATACGCCTATTGTCCATCATGACCCTCCACTGTATTCCTAGTGTTCCTAGAGTCATACAACTCTGGTCTGGGTATTGGGCCTTTTAGCTCATAGTAATACCCACTTAACATGGAAAACAGAAGCCAGCACAATAGATAACCAATATGGAAAGCAATAAAATGCAATGCATACATATGCTCAGGTAATCATGTATGGATGAATAAACTAAAAGCGTAAAAATAAACACCCAAAGAAAAGAAAACAAGAGCTATGAGAGACAATGAGATGGACCAAAAATTGGTTGATCTATCCTCAGTAAAGTCGCCAACTGAAACAACTGGCTGAAAATCATCAAACAATAAAGTCGCCACCGAACTCCTTTTATCCCACATGAAGGGAAAGGTGAACATCAAGAAAACCTGAAAAGGGAGAAGTCACAGTCTTGCGCCCGAGAGATTGGGTAAGGGAGTCTGTTATGTGAGGGGAAGATATTGGCACCCCACACGCCCGTAGTACTCTATGATATCCACTCTTGTTATTTATCTTAAGGGTGTGTTTAATCTATGCTTAGTGTTTACTGCTGAGGAAGATTGCATGCAAAAGAAAGAGAAAATAATGTAGGGAAAATAAAGTTGTACTCGCTTGGGCCCTACCCCAATGCCTACGTATCCTTTTTGAGGAATCAAAGTTACCATAGTCCAACTCACATATTTTGTTTAATTGTGTTTTTTATGAACAATGTTAATTCCGCCTTCTGTCGCAGCTCCACCTTTGGAGACTCACGCGTTGGCACAGAAGTAAACTAACACGTCCTTACCTGAAAATGGTTTTGAGTTATGCCCTCAAGTCAAGATGCCACATTTGATTGGTTTGTGTTTTGTTACCTTGAAAAGGGATTTAAGTGTGATTAGCATGTTTTTTTGATTTGCTAAGAAAATGAAAGTTTTAGTTTTAGATGCAAGGATGCAAAAGGGGAAGAAAAGAGTCTACGAGAGACTAGCCTATTTCTAATCCTAATGTTATCATACAATCGTAGTCCTAAGGTTTAGATTAGAAAAAGGGGAACGTCTACCTAATATTAGCATGCATATCTTACAACCTAAGGTCTAACTTGCATCTAGAAGGAGCAAGCACATCCTAAGGGAACATGGTATGTACAATGGTAAAACAAGCAAGCTCGAAGGAGCACACACATGAAATGGTAAAGAAAAGAAGCGAAATGCTTTAGTCATGGGAAGTGTATCATCCGAGACAACAAAATAGGATGTAAAACAAAAATGTGATATCCAAAGCGACTGAAAACCTAACCAAGATATAGAAGATTGAGGTAGGCAACAAAAGGAAATATGAACAATCACGGAGTATCAGCATCGGCCAATGAGAACTCCTGAAAAAGCGTGGGGGTTCGATAGGAAAACCCTTTTCCACTTGACAACTCGATAACAAGAGTAGGAATAACTCTGAAGCATCATGGTGCGTCAAGAGCTAAGGATGACACGGACGAAATTGCGGGGGTTGATTGCTAACCCTTTTTCGCTCGCCTCCTTTCGAGTACTTCAATAATGGATGGGGGAATAAATACGAGCACAAATGTAAACACACCTGCCAAATACCTACACAAAAGTAGGTTTTTAAATTAACCACACACAAGTAGCACACAATGACAAACAATACGAAATTTCCCTAAACGGGTCTTTAAATAAACCATAGGGGTTCCTGACATGATCAGCAACGGAGACCCCCGTCATACATCTCTATTCCTACTTCTAATGGAATCAGAAAGTAGTGAAGTTCCTACTTCTCATGATATCTAGGAAGCAGTAAAGAAATGCGACAAAGTGCAGAGAAATATAAAAGTAGTAACAGTGACTACCAAAAGCAACGAATTGTCCAAAGCAGACGAAAGTGATGGAGAAGATAGGAGTACACGTCGAGCAAGCTTCACTAAGAAACAAACAAATCCAGAAATGATATCCAACTAAGATAAAGAAAATGTGTGTTGTGAATGCAACGTGTAATTAAAAGTTCTTGCACAAAGTATCACAAAATATCAATATGTATCTGGACAACATATAATATGATATCAATTTCTCAGGACGATGAGAAATAGGTCGTGTTACATCGGAAGCGAGCACAAGTCATATGCTTTGATCACATAACAACTTGTTACGTTACATGATCAAAAACACCAAAATGTACCTTGCACAATGAATAGACGCGTTAAAAATAATGAAGCACGACAGTATGAAAAGATGAATAAAAACTAAAAAAAAAGTATTTTTATTAGTATTTTTTTGTGCAGAAAATTCCATCAAAAACTAAAATATTTATTTCTAAAATCGATTAAGAAAAACTAAAAAAATTTATTGATTTTATAATTTGCATTTTTTTTTTACAAAAATAAAAATATTACCAAAAAGTGAAATAATAGAGTCAGGGGGTGCTAACTGGAATCTGATGGTGTGATGCAGAAGCAAGTGAATAAGTCCAAATTGTAGAGGCCCAATAAACTATTTTTTCCACTATACCTCAATTCATCCAAAAAAAAAGCATGGTTATTAAAAACACTAAAATAAAATGAAGAACAATAATGAAACATCGTTGTTTGGCCAGGGTTTAGAATCGTGGCTTTCCAAATCCACATGAAATAAAGTCTTGAACTCCTCTCTTCTTCTTCGATTGAATTAACACACAACACCAACACTATCATTCATCATCGTCCTCTTTTCCTAAGCGCCGCGGAGGCGTCATCGTTATCTATGCCTTATTCCCCGTCTCAATATCTTCATCACCCTCTAATCTCCAATCAAGATGCATTTCGTTCTCTCTGATTTTGTTTTGTGGATCAAGCGATATGAAAGAATAACAACATACATAAAATTCTAAGGAAAAAGGTTGAAGAGCGTTACCTACCGAAGACTGTATGGTGCTGTTTCGATGGTGATAACGTCAAGAAATCCGACAAACAAACAGCTCCAGGTAAACTTTTGTTCCAAAGAATCCTCTTCTTCTCCTACTTTCGTACTTAGTTTTCGTTCTTTGCAAATTCGGTGATGTGTTGATGCTGTTGCAGATGAAGATTACAGATGTGATTCTGTTGGTGCATTGAAGATGAAAATAGGTTGAGAGAAAGACTCAGCTACAGAAATTTGCAATGAAGATTGTTAGCAGAGGAGTTTCAGATATTGATGGAGAGGTTGAGTAACAGATGTAGATACGTTGAAGAAGATGATTGAAATTGAGATGTGAAGATGATGATGATGTTGAAGAGGTTCTGTGATGACAGATGAAGATTGTGAAGAGTTGAGAGTGACGTTGCAAAGATTGCAGAGAGAAGGCTAAGATATCAGAGAATCTCATAGGTGAGTTTTCTCTATGATTTTTGTGACTTTTTTTCTGGTGGATGAATCTCCTCCTGATTTTGTTGTATCTGTTAGTAAGTTTGTTAACAATTGAGTCAATCTGAGCCATAGATTAGGAGAGTTAGTTAGAGATTTGGATGGTGTGGATTCGGGAGTTGGAATGTTAGTTATTGAATCAGTTAGAAGTTAGGTAGTTATAGAGTCATAAAAAGTTAGCTGATGGGTTCTGTTAAAGACAGTTAGGAGGTTTTGATCTTCTGTTAAATTTCTATTTTCATTTTATTATTTTAAAGGCTTTATTTTCCTTTGATTTTTTTGTTAATATGGATAAAATGCAGGGCTGGAATGATGCTATTGATAGCATGTTCATTGGCATTCAAACTTATTGGGATAAGGCTGCTTTGGTACATAGTGACAATAGTTTTGTGATGAACTGTTTCATTGATGCTGTGGACTATTTTGAAATGTTTCTTAGTTTAAATGATGGATTGTTCTTTATGGTAGGGCTAGAGCAAGTTGGAACAATGTTGAGCTGGTTAGCCACGGATTTGGATGAAGCATGAAGATTAATTATGAAGAACACGCGCATGACTATGAAGCAAATCCAAAGGAAGAAGTCAATATGGTGGAAAGATTATGAAGATTGGTTAATGTTTAGGGACTTAGCAATTTTTAGGAATTTACTATTGGAAACAAATTTGCAATGCGAAAGCATGACTGTGTGTAGTGAAATGGAATTGTATTAATGAATGAATGTCTCTTTCATAATGCGTCTTGAATTCAATACAACTTCACATGTTCCAAGTCTTCTCTCAAATTACACATTTTCCTTTCATTTCTTCATTTGAACTCCTAATCTTCAAAGTCTCCAAATCTTTGCTTTCGAAGTGTTAACAATGATGATGGTGTATTCCTTATGTCTCGTGATTTTTCAATGCAATCTTGTAAGGATGACATTTAGATGTTTGTACTTGAATCTTGTAATGGACATGTAACCTTGAAATAGTGATGATTTTGTAATGGCAAGGATGTATTGAATTTTACTTGGATTAACTTTGTATGGACCTTGAATGGATTTAAATGTATATGGATGATTCTTGAATTTTTGGAACTTGAGTGAATATTTGTAGTGAACATGAACTCTTGAATGAATATGCCTTGCAATTTTAAGGTCCTTCGATGAAGTTTGGATGATGTATCGTAACTTGAATACCAACTTGAACTCAATGGTATTTGCAATGAATACCTAAAATCCGTCTTACACCTCGATCAATAAACCAACACTTTCAACTTGTTCTCCAAGACATTTAGGTGAATGAACCTTGAATCATGTTAAACAATTCCATGTAATTTCCAACCTATCGAATGAATATTAAATGGAAATTTGACTTGTAAGCTTTCCACCTTTAAGCTCTTGTAAATCAATTAAACTTGTATGTCACTATAATACGGTGGGAGAACTGACCTGGTTTTTCATTTTATCGCAAATGTTGCGGATAGCAAGAGACGCCGTCGACTTTTCTTTTATCCAATAAATGAAAGGGTGAAAAGAACAGAAAAGACCTTAGAAATATTTTTGAGTTCGGGGGGAGGGGGGGGGGGGGGGGGGGGGGGGGGGTAGGCTATGAAAAGGGGAGGTGTTAGCACCCTTTTCATCCGTAGTTATCTACGGGCTCTTAATCTCTAACTCACTTTTGATATGAAAATTCTGTGTCGTGTATGTTTGAAAATATTTTGAAAATGCCTAAGTGCGGCAACTTTGTAATGATTCTTATATCAGTTAAGAATGCGTACATAGTGTTTGTTATTGAAAATATTTCAGAAAAGTGTTATTATGAGAAAAAGATGTTTTGAAATGTTTTTCTGTGAGTAAGCGATTATGAGCGACCTACCTACTCAAAAGTCTTTCGTGTTACTTTCCTCCTCCTTAGATAGTGCTACCCTACCATTAGTTAGTAGAAAGCCTTATTATTTGATGTATGAAGGATATGCGTAGGGTCATCATTATGGTCATAGAAGGCAACATATAAGGATACCTTTGAAATTCGAAGGGACTGTCATTATATATTCATAGGCAATATTGAGGGACAAGATCATTTCTCGTAGGCAACTCGAGGGACATCATGAGACTACGATCTTTATGATGATTTTAACTGAGGGTTTTTATTAAGGGTGTCCCTAAGTTCGAGGGACATGACCATTTTTATTCGAAGGCAACAAGTGAAGTTACCCTAGAGGTCCGTGTGTGAAGAGTGATTCAATTCTATTTATTTATCTTGATTAGGGTTATCTAGCATTTTTTTTAGATCTTGCCATACATGCCTAGTTACTATACGGTAATAAGAAAAGCAGTAAAGGCAGGAGATAAAAGGTTCTACGCTATTACAAAGCTTCGGGGAAGGGGGTACAAAACCAAAAAACTAGGGAAAAAGAAAGTAAACCCTAATTAACTATTACATACTGTAGCAGATACATAATTGGTGAAAACTAACACAAATGTAATAAAGTGCGCGAAGCGGTAAAAGGAGAAAATCGTATGATGAAAAAGTTTTGATAATCAACCTAAAGTCTAATTGATTTTATATTGATTAAAAAAAGAATTGATTAATTAAGCAAAACCCTAAATTGTAGGTTGATTTTAAATTAATTGAGAAAACCTAAAAAAATCAAATTAGGGTTGATCGAATAAAACTTAAAATTGAATTGATTAAACTAAAAACCCTAAAGTTAAATCAACTAAATTTAAGAAAACCTAAAATTAAACTATTTGAGTTTTATAAAAAAAGGTTTTATGTTAGGATTTATTAGAAAATTATTTTGAAAGAAAAGGTTTTGTATAAGATTAAAGGAAAAAAGAGTAAGAAACATAGAAGTTAACCAAAAGAGTATGGGTGGGTGTTGAACCCACACCCTCAAGCATTCTCCACGCATAGAACACCACCAGGCCAAGTGCTGGTTGGTGTCAAGATATCAAGTTCAATGCATTATATGATAAACCAGCAAAAATAATAAATATATGAAAAAAATTGGCAAAACCAGGGATTGAACCCGTGACTTGGGAGAGGAGTAACTTAGCGTGTGCGTTTCTAACACTGAGGTGGATATGCATCTGTTTATATAATTGAATCAATTAATATATAATATATAAACAAATATATTTACCGGAGAGGCGCCAGAGCCCTAGCTCCAGTCGTCTTCTCCGGCGACTTGTTTGTTTCAAAACCTGCAAAACCAAAGCGTTAATGATCCACAAATGTCCTACTCCCCTAAAACAAAGGTTGTGAATCTAACTGGAGTATTTTTGCAAGATAAAACACAAGGGTTCAAGAGCTATCATTAAAACACATGAGATCGGTGCTAGCATGGTGGTTTATGATTCAGTATGCATGGGACCTCCATGACTGTTCTAACCTGTACTATCAAAACTCATAAACACATTAGGGACGTTAGTACATGTTAAAGAAAACAAAAAATCAAGATATGAATTTCATGAACATTATAAATTCAGAGATGTCATGCAAGGAGATTTCATACGTTCTTGACTATCCAATTTTATCCACACTTATTTTATAGGCTTGCTGGAAGAGATTGGAGTGGATATTTTGCAGTGAAAAAGTTTGGCACAAGAGTTTGAAGATTTTGGGTTCTTGAAAAAAGCTTTGATTTTTTTTTTTGAAAATTTGTGAGGCAAGGTTCTGTGTATCCTTGTATGAGAAGTGCTGAGATTATATAGGGGATATTAGGTCAAAGTCATGTGGGCTTGGACCTTGTAGAAGAAGATATAATTTTATCTTATTTATTTTTTATTATTTAATGAATAAATCAAAAAATAATTAAAATAATTAAAATAAAATAGTTCATGAGACGGAAGAACACGATTTGAGGTTTATAAAGAGTTTAATACACGTTTGGACTTTCAAACCATGGCCCAATAGTCCAAAATATCAAGCTTGCTCAATTTGAACTTCATGCATTTGCTCAAAATTTCTGAACTTGCAATGGTCATAACTCACTCAATTTTTATCTTTTGAAGGTGATATTGGACTTTTTGGAAAGCTTAAGATGTCCTATACAACTCTATATTCATAATTTTTTCTTTTTAAGATTTTATCGTGATTTAAGTTGCACTGACAAAAAATGTCTTTTTGTTGACTTTTGAAATGACTTGTAATGTATTGGCTTATATCTCTCAAATGATGCACTTTTTGGACTTGAGCTTAGAGAGAAAAAGTTGTAGAGAATTGAATTACCTTCAAAATGAGCTTGGCTTGGGGAAAAGTTGATGAAGCATGTGGAAGTTATGTCTGGTCAAAGTTCAGTTGACTTTTCCTAAGGAAACCCTAATTTAGAAACTTTTGATTTTTGATGATTTGAGGGATTTTTTTGAGGAGTCATGATCAACCATTGATAAAATGATGAATATTACTTCAAAATGTTGATGTTGACCAAAAATCTTGAAGTTTGACTGTATGTTGACCATAGTTGACTTGTTATCCAATATAGTTCATTTTCAATCTTCTAAGCCATTGAATGAGCAAATTTGTAATATAAGGCTTAAAACCTGACATGAGCATTCTTAGGGACATATGAAGAACCAAGAAAACCACTTGAGACCTTAGAAACCCAAATTTCCTTAAGAAATACAAAACCCTAATTGTGGACCCATTGCTTAGGAGGAGAATTTTTCTGACCAATTCTTGAGCAATCTTGAGCATATGAGGACCTTAGGAGAATGTATTGAAGAAAAATGGGAGGGAAAATTTTGGGGTACAACAGCTGCCCCTGTTCAATCTTCTTAAATCTGAAGAGTTAGATTGACAAGTTCGACATTCGTGACCTGAAGGTAGAAGATGATTGAACATTTTAAGTGTCCAGAAATTTGCACTCGCATGTGTAGGAGATAACATTGTTGGTTGATAATATTTCTTGGATGTGCTTAAAGATGCCATTCAGGAATATGATAGAATGTTGCCGATAATGGGCTTATAGATGCCATTCAAAGTAATTATTGATAGGAGTAGCATAATTGAGTTTATGCTCGACTTGATCTGATGGAAATGATTTTCAGAATGGAGATATGAAGGAAAGTGTTTTCTTTGTAGAGAGTCGCCCCATCTTGTTTCGGGAATTGATCTATAATCTTTTTTGGTTGGAAAACCCGTCCTATTTTGGGTATTCATACCACCTGGTGATAAAGATAGTCGCCCCGTCCTGTTTCAGGAATTGATCTTCACCTGGTCATAAAGATAGAAAGATAATTTCCTCGTCCTATGTCAGGAGTTAATATTCAACATGTTCATGTATATAGTTTCCCCGTCCTATTTCGGGAATTGATCTACAATTTTCTTTCATAGATAGTTGCCCTGTCTTGTTTCAGGAATTAATTTGTGTCTGGTCATCCAGATATTTGCCCCGTCTTGTTTCGAGAATTAACCCGGGACCTTTTTTTTTGCCGTAGAGATAGTTTCCCCATATTGTTTCGAGAATTAATCTCTGACCTGGTCACATAGATAGTTGCCCCGTCTTGTTTTGGGAATAAATCTTGGACTTGTTTGAGAATTAT